CCTTTGATTCTTTCAAACCACATAGCAACTTTAGAGTGTCATTTTCACTAACCTCTCTAAAGGAAAAGGTATTGTGTATGGGATGTTGAACATAATCAGAATAGCTTTTTGGAGACTCTGGTAAACTTTCCGAAAGCGACGGACCCACACTGACAAAAAAAGAGTTAAGAGGCTGTCTCTCTAAGAACCGACCAATGACTCTCGACTCAAAAAATGAAATTCTTCGTTACTTTCACAATGAAATGTATTTACCCCAAGAACAAACAAACACAATTTGGAATTTTGAAATTTTATTAATTTTTAAAATTTCACCGATTTTTCGGTCCCGGGCCGTCGGGCAGAAAATCCTCTGCCTATATCAGGCATAAAAATTATCCGAATTCAAGTACATATAATTTTAAAAGTATTCAACCAAATTTTATGATTTTTTCACCCACTAACGTGAAAATTATTCTACTTTGAAACTTGTCTTGTTTTATGATGCTTTTACTGAACGATTACGACAAACGTTAGCGATAACAAGCACCGGGTCTAAATGCGGCTTTGTACGCCTATCATATTCGACTTTAAATTTCTCAAAAGTGGCACCTAACTGGATTCAGTGACTAATATGGTTAAAAAAATGGAAGATTGATATACCAATATCCATAATAAAACTTGTTACCAACCGCGATTTGAAGACTCGACGGCCTCTGAAATTTGATACAATTTGGCTATTTTGTTTAGTTTCAATTATAGCGGAGTTGAGGCGTCAGAGCTTCCAGTCACTTGTAAAGTGCGCTGTTGTTCCGCTTTTTTACGCAAGCCGTTAATATCATCGTAGTTAAGCGATTTTTCTGTGTTCATTAACATCACAAATGGATTTAATTCGAAAAGATTTCGATCGATGCAGCGAGGTAAACGTGTACGCTTTCGTATTAAAATTAGCTACTCGGGGAAAACCCGGAAATTATTGTCAATGCTGATATTTATTCATCTAAACTCTGTATGTCTATTCTGCACGATTGGAA